CCGTACAGTCTTATCGACGGGGACAACCATTCAAAGAGTGCACCAACGAAGGTTACACATAATCACTTACACCCTCTAACCCTAGCACTCAGCTACCCTCTAGAGTTATTGTCCGTGAACCTTGGTACTGCAACAAACGACTTTCTCGAATGTTGGAACATTGTATAAACATGGGTATTATGCAAGCTACTTAACTTCAATCATAGCATAGATAATTAAAGAGGATTAATAAAGTAGAACTTCCCCCACCTTTTCAGTAGAATGTTCGGCATAGACTTGAACTTGAAAGAAATCTCGAGGGCTCGACTCCTCGTAAAACTACATTCATTGGGGTCATGTCTTAGTGTCTTAACATGGAACTTATTCTTATACTTATACTTATAATCATACATAAACTTTAGAAAAACTTTGCTCGCTTGGCTTCGCCTTGCTTGCATTCTTTTTGAAAACATTCTTATTACAAAACATTTGGACAATCGAACTCTTAGCTTGCTTGCTTGCTTACGGATACTATTCTAATCATTTAAGGTTCATCATGATCTCACTCGATGCTTTACAGCTCATACATGTCACATAAGCATGCTTAATAAACATAAGACTCACTTAAACAATTACACTTAGTCCTTTGACAAAACTTAACACGTGCTGTACTTTTAAAACAAGTATATCTTTCAACATACAAGTCACATTAATATGATTCAAGTCTCATATTGCTCCTAAGACGTGGTACTACAACTTTCATTTAGCACTCAAAAGCAAATAAGGTCATATACATGATCCAAAACCAGCAAATATTCAAAGCTAAAATGCTGTCCAAAAATTTAAAATAAATTCATGCGCGGTTTTACGGAAACAGGTATCATTCAGTACTCGGACTATATTTTTGCTTGATTCCAGTACCACATGAAAGATAACACATAGAACTACAATTTCAATGAAGACTTCAGGTTCATTTGAGCACATTATAATATCATAAACACACAAAACATCCAAACCTAACTGCAGCCGGATTTAAGAAAAACTGCTCGCGCAACAATTTTGTAAAAATCATAACTTATTCGTTTTAAGTCGAAATTGCACGATTCCAAAGCTCACGTAAACACAACTGAACGAACTACATATCATATTCAGAACTCGAAAACCGAAAACAACATCTCAGGGGCCTAAACTGCTTCCGAACAGACAGCACGAAAATGACAATTACACATGAAATCATAACCTAATTATCCGAACTTCATATCATCTCGAAAGCAACATATAATCGATGATTCTAGGCACGTTTATCACACAATAAGACACGATTATGAACACATAAACGACAAATATTAACCCTATGCACATATCATTAAATCAATTCTTTCGGAAGCCCGGCAAGGCTCCGACCAATTCAAACTCAACAATAACTCAACAATTATTTACTCGGACCTTAAGCAAGCATACGAGATTCGATTATCAAGTCTTAACACATTAATAATTCTTACTTAATTAATCGCATTCAAATTAACAGTCCAAGGAGGTTAAGGCGTTAGGGTTTTACCGCTCGAATAAAAGAACAACGTTAGGGTTCGAAAGGCTCGAATGAAATTGTTGGAAAAATCAGTTATAAAACTTGGGTTTGACCCGGTATTGACTGAATTTTTGATGGCTAAATATTTAATTTGAGTTGAATTAAACATTGTAGAAAAATTCTATGTTCCGAGTAGATACTTGTGGTATATTTATTTTCTCAAAACTGATTTTCAGTGAGTGAGAAATAAATTGTTAAAGTTAGCCATAAAAGGGCACGTAAAAC